AAAAAAAAAAAAAAAAAAAAACAATGTGTGAGAGAAGAGAATAATTATGTACAAAATTTTGTGTGAAATGAAATTAAGAAAAAGAAAGTAAGAAGCCTCCCTATATCCACGTGTACTGCTCCCAATATTTTGATGTCATAAAGACACCTTCCTTGTGCATATTCATGTGTTAACCTGTGAACGTGAGGTGTACATTGCGGAGACGCTCTTAACATATGAGCATGTACGTAAGCTGATGTATTTATGCTTGTACACCTCTACACACGCGTGCACACATGGGCATGTACACGTGGGTCTATACACATGTGCGAATATACAGGCGCACGTATATAGATAAATATCTACGCCGCTGCGTAAGCCACAGTTTCCCCCACGGGCCTTTGGCAGTCGCCTTCACACAGCAGCAGAGGAAGCCGACCAAGCAAGCACAACGGGTGCAACGAGCAACTGGTTAGCAGGAAAAGCGGTGACAGTTGCAGCGCCAGCAACGGAAGCGTGATCATACCCTTGTGCACAGCAAACGAAACCGTTTTTACCATGCACGCATCTGTTACATTGCACCTTTCCCCAATTGAGTGCAAAGAATATTTTAAAATTTCCCTTTTTTTTTTTTTTTCAAGGCAAGTATAATCCACCCCAGTTATAAAGGATCGCTTCAAAAACACCTCTGTGCATTTTGTATAATCCGTTCACAAGTACAGTTGCATATTTTTTTTGACAATATTGCTGTGTGCAAATATTATTAACATATGTTCATAAAAAAAAAAAAAAAAATTTTAACGAGGCAACACGAAACAGACTTATTCTGAGACCATTTGAAAGAGAATTAATTTGTTTCTATAACTTACCTGTGATGCATGTCCATGAACAATGTGTCCTCATACCACATATCTGCATGCTGGCTTTCCTTTTCAGAAATGGGCTGCTCACAGTCTAAGGCGGACGAACCAAAAGGTCCCAGCAAAAGTATGAACAGGCAGAAGTCAACGAAAGAAGAATATGAACGGCGTGAGAGCAAGAAACTCTCTGCCCTCGATGCGCACATAGGTTAGCAATTGTTGAAAAAGAAAAGCGCTGTAAAGCGGAGCGAAGTGCACGTAAGCACGTGTAATGAAGTGACAAATTGTGTTGGTCCATACGATTCGATGTTGCCTACATGTGGCAAAAAAAGGAAAGTCCCGTTGTGCATTTTTTTTTTTTCCATTAATTTTGTTACTTTTACACAAATAGGACATACAATGATACAGTGGTACAGTGTGCGTCTCCGGATTCTTGTCCCGTCTTTAACATTTTCGCTTTTTCCACACCACTTTGCCTTTTGCCCACCCTTCCGCTTCTCAGGCAAGCGCAAGCACCTCGATATTAAACCGCCACCCGTGAAGGCCATCCCCAAAGTTTCTCCAAAAGGAATGCCAAAAAGGGGCAATTAAATTTTAACACATCAAGATTAGTAAATGTATTTTAAATATTTGTCTTTTTTATGCTTTTTATAATTATGCAATGTTGAACTTTGAAGGGTCACCAATGGCGAATAGAGAAAATAAAAAAACGTAGCCTCTATTCTACACGCATGAACAAAAGTCGCATGGCACTGTACGGAGGTTTGTGAGTGTGCAAGCCACGGGTTACAGCACACACACATGCATTGATTTTCCCCGCGGGTGGTGGAAGAAAGAAATGTTCCGCTCCATTCGAAGTTTTAAAGGATGGTATTTGTAAAAAGATCACGTTCCCCCCCCTTTCAAGATCCTCTTCCATCTCAAATGTGCAACCTTTTTACAACGTAGCGCTTCTTTCTTTAATTGGATTTTGTTTTTTCTTTTTTTGTTTTGCTACTCCTGCATGTCGTCGGAAATGTTAGCCCAATTTGATTGCACGTTTATTCGAGTGAATATCGTGTTTACGTTTTTTTTTTTTTTTTTTTTTTTGTAGATTGATGAAAATTCCATTTCATTTTTCCAAAATGATGCATGCTAGTGGAGGCAATTAACAAAAGCTTTAAACATTTAATCTTTCTGTATGGGAAAATCTGGCCACGGGGGGAAGGGGGAGGAAATTAACAAAAACAAAAAAAAAAAAAACCTTCTGTTGTGTGCACACAAAAACAGTCGTCATGTGTACGCGAGCACCTTCTACAAATCTGCAGTCCCCAACCACGTAGGACCAAATTACACCAGTTGCAAATTTAGCATGCTAAATGTTCTTCCCACGAGGGATAGGTATGCTTGCATAATGAGTACTTCCAAAATTCGGTTAAAAATGAACGCTTCAATTTTGTCTGACTGTTCAGGTAAATTTTTATCTTCGCGTAGATCGAGCAGGCCGCTGTTTTTGATGAGAAGAAACAATTCCGTCTGGGTCATTTTATTGATGATGTGTGTGACTTCATCTTTGTCGCCTGCGAATTTATCGATATTTGCCGTTCCGTTCTGCGTTTCTGCTGTTTCTTCTGCTGTTGCTTCTTCTGCTGCTTTTTCTCCAGCGATTTGTTCCTCTACCTGCTCTTTTCCCTTCCTCAAACCATTTAAAGTGCTCAAAAAATTATGAACGTTCATACATTCCAAATGGGGGATAAATTTCTTCAGAAAACTACTCTGGAGTAGAGGCTGCATTTTCTGAGACAGCGTGAAGAGGAAGGAGCATAATTTGTCAACGTTGTAGCAGCGAGTCACTTCCTCCGTGATATTGTTAAAATGCATAATATGTAGCATTAGTTTTTTTAAATTATTTTCAATCAGTATGTTTTTTTTTCCTTCCACAAGGGAGGAATAATCGCCATTTGTTATTTGCCCCAAAATGGAAGACACTTCATTGTAGCAATTAATTATGAAAAGATACTCTACGTGATCATTGTTGATAATGTTGTTTATTATTTGTCTTTTGTAATTTTTTACAGACAAGTAGGAATAAATGAGGGAGGACAAAAGGAACCTTTCTCTGTGCGCCTTGTCCATACACATTTTGTTAACATTTGTTTGTTCATTTTTTTCATGCACATTCGGATTAGCCGACTTGATATTTTCCAGCATGTCTTTAACGTAAATGTTTTTTTCACACAAATCTTTTGTTTTAATTTTTCTGTTTTCTGAGTTAAGGACAAAACCGTAATTCAGACATATACATTCCACGTGGTCAGGGATAATATGTGCAAATTTGGCGATGGAGAAAATTTGCATAAAATGTTTCCTTTGATTTTCGTCAACCACGTAAATTATTTTATGTGCCTTTTCATGTACCACTCGATAGTATATTGCGGCTAAGTCAATGGCCGCGTACGTGAAGGCCACATCGTTTTGGAGGGTCAGTAACGTGAAGTTCTCCTTTAATTGGTCTACGTCGTTACTTTTGGCCTGCTCGTGCAGTTCGTGCGTCACCTGCATAACTTCGTAGTGGTCCTCGTTGCTGCTCAGTATGTGGGTGTCTTTCCTCCGGCTAGGAGTGGTGCCGCCGCCAACAGTATTGCTGCTCGTGACCCCGCCGCCCTTGCTTCTCAGCAGAAGGCACGACTTTCCCCGCAGATGAAAAACCACATTGGCGTCTTCGAGTTTCTGCAATATGATCGGCACGAACTGGAGGTAGAAACTCTCCCCCTTGTCTACCAACTTTGTGATTTTCAGTTTGTCCAAAATTTCTTGATTCGCCTGGGGAAGGGATAAAAAAAGAACAAGCACAAAATGTGAATGAACATGGGGATTGCTCAAATGGTAAGGGAAGGTATAGAGCTTCTGTGAAGAGTCCAACGAAACGACTTGCTTACCCGCTTACTACTCCTGCAAATGTTATCCCACAAGACAATCATCTTCTTATCCCTCTGATACATCATGCGTAAGCTACTTTTACTGATCCTTTTAAAAACATCCGAAGAGGTAAAAAGCTTCTTCCCCATTTTGTATGCAAACTCGATGTTATGTAAATTTATATCTTCCCACTTGCATGGGTCCAACTGTTGATAACCTTTATTAAAGTTTTCTTCCTTCAAGTTGCTCAGCAAGTTCATGTACAATTCTTCCTCCAGCACATTTTGTGATTGTTCGTTTATTGCACGTTGTGTACAATCTGTCCTCACGGGGTGCTCCACAGCACTGTGTTTATTCATCTGACCGATGGTTACACAGGGCGTAGTAGACCCTTTGTAAAATTCAGCCTTGTCATATACACCATCACCAATGCTACACACATTTCTCTCATTTAGCTGCCACCTTGATACTACTTCCTGGGGAAACATAATAAAAAAACTTAACACTATTGCTAGATTCATGTTCCAGTCTCCTATATGGCTTCTGCATTTCACAGAATAATTCAAGGAACGGAAAATATTGCTCAGTGCATTTCCAAGGAGGAGCGATTTGAGATGACCCATGTGCATATTTTTCGCCATATTTACTCCGCAGAAGTCTAGCAGGACGGTCGGTTTTTCTCTGCCTCGGTGGTTCTCCATTTGGTGATTCTCCATTTGGGGGGGGCTGTTACTACCACTTGTGTAACTCCGCACTGGAGTTGTCCCCATGTGGGCACCCTCATTTCTGTAAAAATGCAGAAACCCCCGCATGACGCACGCATCGCTAACCCGGATGTTGAGTATCCCATTGGGGGATATGTGCAAGGAGTCAATTAGCTCTGCATCTGTTCCTCTAATAATTCGCAGAACCTCAGTGCGCACATCTTTTGCTTGACCCAACGAATGCTCCAAAAACAAAATCACACTGGACTGGTATTCATAGTCTTCAAATATTTTGTTGTCTTCAAGGAGGCAGTGCTTTGGTAGATTCACATTTTCGTCTTGCAAGATTTGTTTCGCTACATTTTGCAGGGTGTTATTTAGGACGGTGTGCAGGTCTCCACGTGCGCTGTGTACATCTCCATCAGAGGCGTGCTCTTCCCAACCTGCTCGGCATCCTCTGCATCGCTTGGTGTGTGCTTTATTTGGCGACCTGCTCCTTGGGGGGACCCATTTTAGCGGCTCAAGGCCCCTAACGTAGGCGGTCCTTGCTCCCCTTACGCTGGGAAAAAAAACGTTCCAAAGATGCTCATAAGTTCTGGCAGCTTTGTTTAGCTGGAAGCATCTCAGGTAAGATCGCAAGAGAAGAAGTAACAGTGCTGCTCTGATCATTATCCATTATTTTTTTTGGGGGGGTGGAAGCACACAAAGACCCCGATGCCATTTGCGCGCAGGGCACCAAGAGTTACCTTTTCTTATTGCAACATAGATCACTTGCCATTCTATCACCATTTCATTCATTCAGAAAAAAAAAAAAAAAAAAAAAAACAAAGGGAGGTTTTTTAAAAGGTGCCTCAATGAACTGCAGCAAAGCTCAGAGGAAAAGGAAATTCCACAACGAGGTTGAAACGGTGCTCCTGTGAGGTGGAGGGGGGCTTGCCCCGAGAGAGTAAAATTAAAGAAGCCACAGAACAAGTATGAACAATGAACTTTTTAGCGAAAATAATTTGAGGATGTTTTTATTGAAAGAGGCTAATTTGTACGAAGGGTATTGTACTTGCGCATGTAGGCCGTTTCCGCACCGCTGCGAGTTTACAGCGCGCATGTAAAGGAGAGCCTCCAGTGTGGCGTTCCTGCTCTCCCCAATTTGAAAAACAAAACACAGGCCCCGTTCCACCAAGGTGCGTGGCGAACGTAGCGCCTTTTGTACCATCCCTGACGTTGCAGCATCGGTGGTGCGGCGTTTTATGACCGTTGTATGACCGTTGTAACGGAGTAAGGACTACTGCTTTTTCCCCCCGTGCAGGGAAACTCACCTGCTGAGGGACGGTCTAGTTATTAGGTCCTGCCCGAAGTCGCAGTGGCAACGAAAGCGGAAACCGTATAATGCGCCTGCATGGCCTTCTCTTCCTTATACTAATAAAACTAGCATACTCATTTAAAGTGATGAGAATAACTATCCCGAATACGAGCGGACTGAATGTTGTGGACAGCAACTTCGAGCCAAAATACTTTATCAAAAATAAATTACGTTTTGTTAGTCCCTATGTGTACACGTATAAGCTATACACGAAGAAACGATGGATCGGGGAAAGAATTGCAGATGTGTTAACCTCAGAATTTTGCGCATACGATTTAAACTACTTCAAGGAATCTATAAGAAAAGGTTACATAAAAGTAAACAAAGAAAATGTGCCCTGTGATTACCTCCTGAAAAGCAATGACCTAATCCAGCATAAACTTCTGCTGTTCGAAAAACCAGTCATATGTAATAAAATATTAATTCTTTATGAAGATCAAAATTTTATTTGCGTATACAAATCTGCTAGTATGCCTACCCACCCGGTTGGCTTCTATCAATATAATTCCCTTTTGCGAATTTTACAAAACTATATAAGCTCAACTTTAGGAAAGGGAAAATTGTCTGGGGAGGAAAAGTCTGGTGAGACAAAAACAGAGAAGGGCCAGGAAGAAAGGAACGAAGGGGACGTCATCAAAATTAGCTTCAATTTTAAGAAAACCAATTTTAAGGATATTCCAGGGGTGGAATCCCCTTCTCGTCAGAACGAATCACAAGGGAAGGAACAGAAAGGGGACAACGAGGGACAACATGAAGGAGAGCAGCGCGAATATGTGATAGAAAACTCGAAGAAGAGAAAACAAACAAAAACATTTCTAGATCATAATAATTACCTGAACAAGTCAGGTCAAAGTCGTAAAAAAGTAGCAACAAATGTAAAAGGCGATCATATCAATGGGGATGAATGTCTTACCAGCCAGAGGGATTTAGACGAAGGGAAGGAGCAAATTGAGATGTTAAACGAGGTAGGAAGCGTACCAGAACGTGGTAGCGGCTTTGCTGAAGAGGGAAACAAGCAGAACGAAGGGAAAGCTGATGCAGACAAGTCGGAAAAACCGCCTGTACCGTTCATATCGGAAAACGCGCAACGAAGGGGAAAACACATCAAGTCTTGTAACAACGAAAAGAAAGACAAACAGGAAAAGGACGACTCCTACATTTACACACTACATAGACTCGACAAGCTAACTTCAGGCATTGTCCTGTTTGGAAAAAATAAAAACTTTTCCACCTTTTTCTCACAGAATATCTCAAATAATAGCATAAAAAAATCCTACATTACGAGAGTAGACGGAGATTTCCGTACCCTCATTAGGACACTCATGAATGAGAAAAAGGTGATTAATGACATGAATAACAAAACCTTGAACGAGTTAGTAGAAAACTACTGCTCTGTTGGCAAGGACGATTCGCTTTTCGCATTCAACGACGGCAACTCGTTTAAAAATGACGTTTTCCTGCATAGAAATAGGTACTGTGAAGAGGGCGCTATCAGCGGGGAGGGAGACATGGAGGCCTTGGCATGCATCGTGCGGGAAAAGAAGAACTACCTGCTGGATGACTTTGACGTGGACAAATTTTTTGGAGGTGCAGAAGAGGGAAGCGTAGGCGACGTAGACGCAAAGCGCGGTGACAAAAATCGCAGTGGAGAGGAGGAGGACGACGAACTTCTCCGACAACACTTCGTCGTGGACTTCGGATACATGTATTGTGAAAATAAAAAGTTGCTCAAGTACGTTTTTACAAAATATTCACAGAGAAACCGCCAAATCACAGAGGAGTACTGCCTGAAGCCAAGCATCACTCGATTTATGTTCCTGGCTTACAACGCCGAGTTGAAGGAGTCACTTGTCTTGTGTCAACCCATAACCGGAAGGACACACCAGATAAGGGCCCACCTGAAGAGCCTGTCCTTCGCAATATCAAACGACCCTCAGTATAATGACAACTTCGCCAAGGAGTACATGGACAAGTCGGTGTATTTGCACTTTGACGAGGGGAAACCGTCGGGGGAGCAGTCGGTGGAAGGAGCCGCGCCGAGCCAGTACACAAATGGGACAGAAATCGACGCACATCGTGAGGTAAGCTCTGCACCCACTGTCAAACCCAACCCAGACAAAAAAGACAACCTCGAAAAATATACCCACTTCCCTCTCATCCCGTTCCTAAACACATCCTTCCATTGGCTCTACGACGAAAAGATCGATTTGAACGACACATACAACGAAGCAGATTTGAATAACTATTTTTTTAAAAAAATTAGTAACATCACGTATCACAGCTCGGGAATATTTCTTCACTCCTTCCGATACACATGGGAAAATGTGTTTGATGTTTTTACACTTCTACCAAAGTGGTGTTCTTTATTTTACCTTCCCAAGGGGCTACTCGCATTTTTGCTCTACGGCTCTCTGTCGTAAGAATTTTTTTTTTTTTTTTCACAAACGTGCGACAAGCGCAACTGACAACTAGCCTTTGCCAATTGAAAAACATGTGGCACACCTGGAAGAGAGACATTATTAACGTCTACATGACAACGCGAAAAAAGCGTATGCTCATAGTAATCCCGCAGTGGCACCCATCACCAGTGCGCACTCTTTCAAAGCGGTTCAAAAGTGTATCCGTAAATGTGCAGTCGCCAAAGGGGAAAAAGGTTTCACGAAGGGGTGACGTTTTTCAAAAAATATGAACAAGTCAGGCAATTTTTACCCACATCAGTTTCACAAAAAAAAAAATAAATAAAATAATAAAATAATGCGAACAGGGGTACACTACACCTACGCGTGGTCCCCTTCTACTCCAACCGGTGCGCACACTCCAAATTGAAAACATTCACACAAACAACGTTGAAAAGAGGTGCTCCATTGCGCAATTGCTTGAAAAAGGGACAAACACCATCCGAGGGGCAAAAATCATAATATCGCACTGCGCAATTACAATCACCGTGGCGTCACCTCAAGCTGTGCCGAATGAGTCCCCGGCACACGTAGTCCGGGTCTCCCGCGGCACTTGTCAGTTCGTCGGACGAGCACCCCCGCTTGGTGTCCATGTCGTGGCACAGAAATAACGAACTGTTGTCTGAGAAGCTGGTGAAGCTTTCCCTATTTTTGCTGAGTCGTCTTTTGCCTGATCTTGGCCCGCACTCCTCCTGCTTCTTGCTGCCCGTCCCTTTTCTGTTCCTCGAAGCGACATCATGCGATTGGGAAATCTGTGAGGTCTCCCGTGGAGGGTGCAATGTTACTCCTTCTCGTTCGTCAGAAGAGGCATAGTGCCCGTCCTCTTCAGTATTAACCTCGTTGTCATTAGGAAATTCCCCCACACCCTGGGCAACCATATACTTGACGCTCTCCAACAAGTTCCTATTCTTCTCATGCAGGTAGGCTATTTCCTCCTTCATTTTCCTCATTTTTTTCTTATCCTGATTCATTTTATCCTGCGCATTGCTTAACAGTTGGTCCTTCTTCGTACACTCCTCTTTCAGTTCGCTCACTTTTCTATCATTGCAATTCTCCTTGGATATTTTATTCTCCATTTCTGTCGTTAACAACTCGAGGATCTCCGCTAAATATTTTATGTCACCATTTGTTTTGGTTATTTTTTCTAGTACAACTTTTTTAAAATTATCAAAAGCCATATCTTTCCTGATGAGAGAAATTTCTTCCTGCAATTTATTTTTTTCCTTTTTCTCCACAACCACCGTGTGCATAAGTTCCTGCAGCTCTGTGTTTAAAATTTTTATCTTTGATTCGTTTTGCTGCTCCGAGTTCCTCCTCTCATTATCCTTTTTTTCTATCGTTGATAAATTTTCCGTAATGGTATTATTCAATCTGATATTCTCTTCCCTCTCTCTCTTCAACTTCTCTTGGGCTATCTCCAATTCATTCTCAATGTGGGTAATTTTTTTCCTGAGTTTATTTTTTACTTGGAAATATTTCTTCTCCTTTTTGTAGAATTCTTTTTCTCTTTCTAGAAATTTCTCCTTTTCTTCCCTCAGAAAATCTGCTAATGGAGCTGCGTTGTTTTTCATATCTTCTTGCAATTTTTCGAGTTCATTTTTGTAAAAATTCTTGTCTCTCTCCAGCTGGTTCTGCTTGTCTAGCATGTGGATGTACAGCCCGCGCAGTCGGTTCGTTTCTACAAACTCCATGTTGTAGGACTCTGCCTCGGTATGGCAGTTAGCCGCATGACAATCAGCCGCATCGCAATTGGCCCCATCGTGTGTCGCAATGTCTTTCATTTTTTTCTTGTTCATGTCGTCTATTATTCTGGTCAGCTCGTACTTCTTCCTGAAATTTTCCTCCCTCAGGTTTTTTAAATTTTCCTCCAATAAATTAATTCGTTTATTCGCCTCCTTCTTGGTACGTTCCTTCTTTCGCCTCGGCACACCAAGCTGCTCTCCTGCCGACACGCCATCCACATCCTCATTGCGAGCACCACCCTTTGTGGTACTCCCGAATTGGAGACTCTTCACCAACTCAATCTCCCCGATGTGTAGCTTTTCCACGCCGCGTATCTTTCCCCCCTTTCTCAAAAATGAAAAGTGTACCAACTGTTTGCGCGTCCTTTCTCGAGGTGCAGAGGCATCGACACCCTCATAAATGACCTCAAAATCGTAGATACAACTGGACGAGTTTGCTCCCTCCTTTTTAACTTGAAAACGGCCATTCCCCTTTTTGTTTATTCTGATGAGGTACTTTTTTCTCCCCATCCGGTTTCCCGATCCGCTTCTGTCCCCCCCAGGCCCCCTCGATGCTGACGCGTCGGAAGAGGATGAGGAGAGCGAGTCAAACGAACCGGATTGGTTGCGTCCTTCCCACGCCTCACCATTCAATTGATTATTCCCCTTTCTTGTGCACACATTTTTGCAAGATTTATTTATCGACGGGGGGATCGGCTTAACTGAAATGTTGGGGCTACCTTTTTCAATGTGCTCCTTGAGGATTGCCACGTTTGTATTTTTATTCTCCACATGGACTGATTCTCCATTTGTGCATTTTCTCAAAATCTGCATTTTACTTTTTTCACTTCTGCTGGTTCGAGGTGGTATGTCCGCTTCTCCATCGTTCATATTCCTATCACGGTCAAAGAGGAACGACGTGGCACCCCCCTTCGTGTTGCTAAAACATTTTCTCATCAAATTGAATTTTTGCAGGGAGGAATCGCCAGGATTATTTCCCGTCCTGCACTTTTGCTGTTTCGTTAAAAATGAACTTGTGAGAGAGCCACTCTTTGGAAAGAGTCTCTCCTCTGTATGTGACTTCCAATTTAAGGGGCTTCCCTTTTCAGTGATGTGTCTATTTAGTGAGGGGTTTTTAGCAGGGCTTCGTTCCCTCAGTGTGCCATCGGCATGCACATCTGATGTCCCGCTTGCTTCCTCCACATCACTCACCCGTTCGCAACTGGAGCTTATCCCGGACACCACCGATGCCTCGGTGGAATAACGGTCCCCGCGCGCATCATCATCACCATCGTTATTATTATCACGCCCATGGTCATTCGCTTTACCCCACGGAAGCTTCGCCCCGTCCTCACGCTGCCTCATCCTGCTGAACAAATGTTCTGCTCCCCCGCGGATAGAACTCTTCAGCTGAAGCATCAAGTCGGAAAATACGTCGTGCGATTTGTCGTCACTCAACTTTTCTACATCACTTATCTGCAGCAAACGCAGCATATCCTCCAGTGCGCTTTTCTTCTGGCACAAATCTTTCAAACGTTCGGCTGCACTATGTTCTTTGCATGTGTTTGCCTTATCCATGCCTTCCATCAAATTTGCAATTCCCTCATTTCTGCTCATCATGTGAGAGTAATAACAACCGGAAGGTGCATTGCCTTCCCTTTTGTCCAACAAGAACATTGCGTATTTTGTCAAGAAGGCACTTAATTGTTTTAAGTTTTGTTCCTTGGTTGTGTCTGTTTTTCTTTTCACCAGATCGGAACACTGGTTGTTCTTACTCACACTTAACTCATTTTGTAAAAATAGAATGTCATCATTCAATGCCACGATTTCGTTACTCAGCTGGGTGCTGGCATTGTGCACTAGCGAGAGTAATAATGCCTTCGTCATTTTTTTTTATAAAAGTGGGACAGAAACGGAAGTGTGCAGTTCGTTTCACTGAACTGGAAAAAAGCGGTGAGGTGGAGAAAACAGTCCTCCTCCAGTATACACACTGCCTCGGTTATATTCTACCCCATATGTATATGTGCCATATGGAGGGGCATTTCATTCCCCGCTGACAGAAAATAAAGTGCTATAATATATGAGTAAAAAAAAAAAAAAGTGCATAAACAAAATGGACTTCTCCTTTCTGGTGTTGTATCAACGCCGACCAGTTGACAAGCTCACCATTAGCTCGGGGGTGCTTAACAGGACATACTTCGAATTGAAGTAAAATAAATTACAATTTGTGAAAATTGTGCAAATGTGATGCACATGAATTAGTTGGTTATGGTGGATTGGGGTACAAAAACAACGCACCTAGAAGGTACACATGTCGTGTATATTTACTACAGGGGCGTTTTAATTTCCTATTTGCGCGCTTAAAGCAGTCAATAAGTCAAATAAATTAAAGAGATATTCGAACAAATTGGTGAGGAAAATTTCCGCGATTTAGTTTGATCAGCGGAAATTGAGATTAACAACTGTGCTAACTTATAAACAGTTAATGGGTAAAGATATAGGCTTTCATTTGTGAAGGCAAATGGTGACATTTTCCCCCCAAGTGTACTACACACGGCCAGTTGTAAGTCGGGTTGGTGAAAAAAAAACAAAATGGCACAAAATGAACGTTTTTTTTTTTTTTTTTTTTTTTTTTTTGTGCAACAAAGCCAATGTTACGAAAACGATTTAGGGGTGTAAACTCACCATTGCTGGTGGTGACAAATCAATGTCAAGTGAAATTGTTCCGAATTGTAAGCATTTTGCACGGTGTGTAGGGCCTATAATATGAATGTTCACGTTGTGTTAAAAAAAATTGGGCAAAATTAATTTTTTTGTGCATTCGTTCTTTTCGCGAATTTTATCTTATCACGAATTTGTTTTTTCCGCAAATTTTTTCTTTTTTTTTGCTCATGTTCCTTCTGATGAATTGTCCCCTTTTCGATTTCTTTTTTTTTTTTTTCACAACACGAGGGTGTGAGCAGTTGTTATAAAGGGCCAATGAGCACCCGCGTGTTCTAGCATGTCTTAATTGTGCAAGCGAATTTTAGCAGGTAAATGCGGGAACTTCCATTTCGGAAAAAAGGGCAACTTTGATTTTTGCTCCTTTGTAGAGCGCTTATTTGACGCGATTGTGTGTCATAGTCTTGGTTTAATTCGCAGCAAAGTCAAAGAAATTTGTAAATTAGGCAAATTGCGCGAAATGAACGAAGCGAACACAGAAATAGGAGAACAGTTCAGCGAAATTTGCCCGCAAAGCACGCTTGTTATTTGTGACAAAAATGGCTCGTGGTTAAAAAGAATTTTTTTTTTTAAATAATTGAGCAAAAACCTTTAAAAAGCGAATTTTTTTTTATGAACGAGTCAGAACATTTGAATCGAGATCCATATGTTGCATTTTTCCACGTAATGAATTTCCAAATGGCTGATAAAAACAAGCACCAAAAAGGTTGTCACTGTCGTTTTACCAATTTGGCTAGTTTTTTTTTTTTTTTTTTTTACCACTTTTGTGATGAATGTGTATAATTGGGGCCTTTTTACCTGAACGGTGCAGGTAAGTGGTGTTTATGTGGCAATTACACACAACGTCAGGTTGGGTTATCCCACTGAAAGCGCGAAAAGGTTAAAAGGAGAAAGAAAAAATATATTTACACAAGCGTGAGTTACGTAAACTTGCATTCCGCAGCGAGGTCACGTTCGAAACGCTCGGAAGTAGCTGCCTTTTTTTTCACCAACAATGAAAATTCGTCATAAATGACCGTTGCCAATTTCACAGTCACCTGTACCCACGAGGGAAGTTTCTTTAAAAAAGACGCCCCCGTACTGACAATCTGCGTGTTCAAGCGGGGGCTACACAAAACTTTGCAAACAATGGGACAGGAAAAAAGAAAAAACAAATGTGTACTCTCTCTTATATTAAAATATATTAAAAAAAAAAACAATGTTACTTGAATTAATGAAAAGTTAAATGATAACTTTTTTGCATGATGAAGCTTTAATAAACATTTCTTTCTTCTCATTTTATTCCATGCTTTCTTTGGAATAAAATGAACTATATAAAAAAAATAACCAAAGTGAGAGAAAAAAATTATACAAAAAATTAATGCCAAAAAGGGGAAGGGGGGAGCTTATGCAGGAAAAAAAAAAAAAAAATGAAAGCAACGCAAAGCAAATATTTTTATTAAAATTGAAGTCTTTAAAATAGAATAAAATCACTAAAAAAACATAAACGAAAAATGACAAAAACAGCATAATACGGGTTTTCTTTTTACTTGTTTTTTTAAAAAAACAAAAACTAAAACATGACGACGATGATAAGCGCATGACTATCATCAGGCAGACCACACCATGCGGAGGACTATCAAACGGATGATTTCCCAAGGGATGATCATCATGCAAATTGCTATCATGCGGAGAGCCGCCATGAAAGTGCAAAGTCGTAACTGCTGTTGTTCTACTTGTCCTTGTTTATGTCTGATGTTGACGCTTTGCTGCTGCTACTGCTGCTTGAGGCTACGAATGAAGTTATTATGATTATCATATTCCTGCCGTTGTCACTGGCACACTATTATCGGGTAAAACATGGTACTAAAAATCCTCTTGTATAACATAACAAAATCGAAAATCGGGCACGCGCGGGGGTACGCGCGCTGAGTGGACAAAACTACTCATCTTCCCTCAATTTCGTAAAATTATTTTTTTTCACTTCGATTCTTTTCGTTAATTATATACTTGGTGGCTATGTTCCCCAAGGCGGCTTGAAAAAACTCCATTTTTATACGTAGAGATCCTGGCCAGTCGTTATAGTCGTCTATATTTTGGGGCGCCCTAGGGTTATACTTCTTCATATTTTGGAACATGATTTTGGACACTTCGTCATGGAAAACGTTTATGCGTTCTTCCTCTGTCATGTTCGGAAATTTCTTTTTGTCTGGTGGGTAGACCTTGGGCAGCCAGTACGTTCTGAGGGACATGCTTTGGTACTGCAGGGGGGGAGGGGGAAGGGAAACGCGCGGGTGAAATGGACGCCTTAATTTAAGCGGCTAGGATAAGCGGATTAAAAAAAAAAAAAAGTAGCTCTACGGTGTACCGCTATATGACGCACTCCTGCTACAATGCGCCGCTGGAAGAGCACTTACATTGGACACAATCAGGATGAGCCACCAGGTGAAGGGCAAAATATCGTAGGCGGGGTTAAAAAAGTCGTACTCGTACACCAGCAAAACAGGGGTGATGGGGAGGAGAGAAAAAAAGGCCCCTTTCTTCTGCTCAATAAGTTGCATCCCATTGGATGTGGTTCCTTCAGAAAATATAACAAAAGATGGAAAATTATTTTTTTTCTGATCTACCATCTGCTGTCTTTCCTTGATCATTTCCAAGGCGATTTTTCGATCCTCTGATTTTTCCCTGTACACGAATACACACCTTAAAGATATAACACTAAGTCCAGCCACTATATCCTTGCGCAGGGATTTCTTGGCAACAAAACTGCATGCATGTTCACTTATAAAATAGAAGGGGTCCAGGGCAGACACGTGATTCGCAACGATATTTTTTGGCCAGTCGTTATCACACAGGTAGTGACTTTCTATTTCATTAATTCCAAAGAACCATAAGGACGCTCTGCAAATGAACTTGAGAACTTTTAAGTAAATTTTTACTATAGCGTTTTCTTGGTCTTCTTTGTGCTTCCCCGTGAAGAATGAAAACACGACTGCGGGGGAAGATAAATGAAAAAAAAAAAAAGGGGGGGATGTATATATGCACACTGCGACCAACAGTGTAGGCACGTCCGCTGAATTGCGGTTTTTAAATGTGCCCATGTTTTATATCCTCTCGTGCATACTTACAACAAATGAAAATGTTGGTCGTGGCTAGTACGAGTAGGGCTGCTGTTTTCCACCCGGCCTATTCGAGAAGGGGGAAATCAAATTGGGGGTGTGCACGAGTATATATGTGGATTGCACAAAATTGTACGGTGCGTGAAAAATAGAGCTTTTTTTTTTTTTTTTTTTTTGGACACATTTTCGTATTGCTTGTTCATACGTTTTGAGCATTACCATAAAGATGGCTCCATATAGTAGCTTCATGAAATTCATATTGACCAAGTCCAACCTCTCAAAGGAGGTGTACGGGTGTACATTTTTCTGGTTGCCATTATTTTTACATGATTGTATTTCTTCCACAGGATAATTCTTCAAATCGAATTTCTTCAAATTACAAAAAACAGCAATGGCATAAATGGTGATCAAGCTAACATAAAAAGTGGCCAGGCAAAAATAAATATGATACATGTCCCATGTCCATTTTGCGTAAAAAACTTTAACAATGTATAATTTTAAATGAAGCGCAAAAATAATATATGCCACGATGTGATACACAAACTTCTTTATCATTTTTTTCTCCCCCTGGACGTTCTCGTTGTCTTTTCCCCCTTTGTTTTTCTGGTTGCTGCGTTTTTCGCTGCTGTCCTCGTCGTACCGGCGCCCTACTTCTATGTCTATGTCTTCACCGGGGATCACTTGCGCGGATGATACGTGAACTGTGACTGAGCCCACCTTTGCCTGCTTCACTCTGGGGGGATGCTCTGCGGGCGGATTCACCTTGGAAAAATTCACGTTGACAAAATTTTTGTGGGTAATAAAACTTCGTTTCTCTTCCACCACTGCTACTGGGCCTTTTTGCGATCGCGCAGTGGGATAGTGTGTGTATAATCTAAGTGGGGAATATTTTCTCGAACAGAACGTTGTAGCCGTGTGTGTGCACTTTGCTATGGGAAACACTCGTGCGGACTTTATATGTTGCAAAGACGGGGATGAAGTTCAGTTGGATATTTCCCCCCTGGGTGTTCATAAATTCTCATATGTGCTACGTCGTGGCAGATGTACGCACAGTGGAGTTACAGCCCTGCTTGGACGAACGCCTTCATGCACATGTAATTGCGCCGGTCGTCGTGCAGGAAATGCACATGTGCCGCTGTATTATAGCGCTTGGGGAAAATATCGAATATTAAACCATGTGACGGGGTGGGAGGGAAAAAAAAAGTGCAACAAACACAGACCACGAAACGGGAGGGGGAATGAAAAAAAAAAAAAAAGGCAAAACCAACCCTGCGATTTTCCCCTCGTCTACAGTTACGACGCGTTATGACGTGTCATTATGCATCGCAAGGCAATAAATATGGCATGGCATGATGTGACACACAGAGTACAGCATTAGCGCAGCACAACACATCATTTCACACGATGATAACATATAACATAGTAAAGTATAATATAATGTAGCATAATTTAGTGTAACATCGGTATAATGCGACGTCATATATAATATGAGATGTGTGCCGATGGCGTTGTCAACCTATGCGTCATGCAGCGTTAACATCTTCGCGATGGCGAACTATAACAGAGAGGGGGAAATTCTTCCGCATTGCTAATGACGCATTTATAGTATGTCGTATTATACCCTGCACGTTAAAAAAAATTCAGGACATTTCCTTAAAATTGGCATTTCATATTTCATACACAGTGGACGTAATATATATATATATATAAATATAATATATATATATATACATCAAAATAACTCGCCAAAAAAAAAAAAAAAAAAAAAAAAAGCGTAATGGAACGCAAAACTTTGGTGGAAAAATGATAAAATTATGTAATGATGGAACAAAATTTTGTTTTCTTAATTAATCGGCGGAAATGCAAAAAAAAAAAAAAAAAAGAAGAAAAAAAAAAAACATAAATCAACCTGAATTCTTTTTTTTCTGTTCTCTGGACTAATATTCTGCACAGTCATTAAATGAAATTATTATTGTCACCTAACGGGTGTGAGTGAGTGTTTGCTGAATTGGTGGAACACATATCAGATATTGCGTCCATACACTTTTTATGGTAAATCACCATACGCGAATTTTATTCGTTTTAGCGTATATACATTATATATATATATACATACATGTGGGAGTAATGGGTACCACTTTGGGGGTTTTGTTTTGTATTGCATCATACGTTGTTTTATTTTATTTATTTATTTTTTTATCATAGCTATAATATTTGTCCCCTTTTGCCTAGTGTGGGAAATTTTGTTTGCAAAACTATCGCTACAATGGCGCAAAATTTACAATTTTGTTTTTTTTATAAAAGGGAAACCGAGGGGAGTATAAAAAAAAAAATAACGTATTCGTTCCATCGCAAATGTGTACATCCGTGTTACAACTGTGTGTATGTGGGAAATGGGTGTATTTGAATTTTTACCAATGCGGGGGGCCACGTAAAATTTATCCAAGTAAGGAGAACAAAGGGGGGGGGGTAGCCAAATTTTTAACGTCCCCAAGTTTGTTGCATGTTCGGCTTCTCTTCAAAAGGAAGGAGGATTTTTTTTTTTTTTCCTCTTTGTGTAAAAGCGCTTCTCTAAAAGGGAGAGAACTAACTGCACATATATGAGCCATTCGCGGGGTCATACGCATCCACTGAGGCTTCACTGCGTAAACGGCTTCCCCATTGGGTAAACCTCAGGAGACAGGCCCGGACAGTACCATAAAAGGGGATTGTATTTAGAAGGGGAAAACTTTACAAGGGAGATGCGTCGGTACACCGTTACATGTGCCCCCCCCTCAGTGGGAATGATTCTGTACATAAAAATATGTTAAAAGTAAAGTTGCATAACGGATTGAGGGGACAAAGAAAAACACACACGCATGTGTCATATTGTCATGGGTTTTTATGCAGACGACCACGGAAAGGTACACCTGTATACGTATGCCCCCTGTCGTGACGCGCACGTGGTTTGGGTTTAAGTACAATGAGAAATTCAAATGGGTGAATAAAATTTACAAAAAAAAAAAGAAAACGTTTCATTCACCAGTGTATACTGTCCATTTTAAACGGTCGGAGCGACCACCTCCAAAAAAAAAAAAAAAAAAGAATTAATTAATTAATTAGAGTGCGCTTTTCAATGGTAATGGGGACAGTCGGACAAATTCCTAGGCACAATGTCCGTTTAATACTCCTTCCCGCTGTCTGCATACTGTTTCAGTCAAACTGGGATGTCCTGGGGAAAGACGTCCTTCAGGTTGAACTCCGCCACGTACATGAGCTTGCTGGGGGAGACCTTCCTAATCTGCAAAGGGAAAAAGGGGGGTGGTGTGGTGTGACGCGATGCAGGTGGTGTGGTGTAGGCGATGCAACACGGAACTGGGCCCACTGCAACAAACTCACCTCGGTAATCTTCATCTCGCGCGGGAGACCCCTCAGTTGCATCCGGATGTTTCTCTGCGCCTCTTCATAAAATAACTCAGGCTTCGCGAAGAAGTAGCAGTGTATAAACACATTCCTCATTTGGTCTCTGTGGCATTTTCCCTGGGTATCCTTTTGACCAGTAATACTGTACATATGCAACAGTTCCTGAAAGACATCCAAAAATTCAAAAGCTGTTTGAGGCAAATTCATGAGCACATGCACATCGCCGTAGAGACCTAAATTAATATCCACGTGGTGCGTTTCATTTGGGGGGGAATCTTGTTCTGTCTTCTTCGTATCATGGTTCTTTTTGTCTCGGTGGACTTTCTGCTCCTGCCCCTCAGGGTGCTGGGCTGCGAACTCGAAGGGGTGTTCTGCTACGTGACCACTTGCATCACCATGGGTCAGCTTCGTCTTCTTTTCATGGGTGGCATTTTGAAGGGCGGGATCATACTTAGGAGCATCCCGGTCACTTGCCCGCTTGTTCCTTTTTCCCGCATCAACAGTGCTACGATCCGCAGAGTTTATAAAATCGAGCGAGACGTTTCTCCAATTCTGTTGACTCAGCTCCATTTTCAACGTTGATGTGTCACGTGAGCAAATATTTAATGTAAGCAGCATATGGACAAAGGCCCTAGCATCCATGTTATATGTGAGGATACTTTTCCTTTTATTCAATTTAATATTAACGTTCATAAAATTATAAGCATGCTCATTAATATCGTTTGAAAAACATAAGCAATTTTTTTTGCTGAGGTGTAGACTGAATATACCAACCCCAGCAAAGAGGTCCACAATTATGGAGTTGTTTTCAACGAGGTCATATATTCGATCTCTCTCTTTTTTTAATTTTGAATTCCAATAAATTAATTCATAATTCAGTTTTATTTTAATATCGTTTTCTTTTAAAGTGGTCAGATAATTTTTTTCTCCTGCTAATAATTCGATATTAAATGTCCTATGCACATTTTGCAGAATATCCTTTTTGTTTATAACTGTTTTTATGCTTTTATTTTTGTCTAGGATAATTTCTGCAATTACTTTTTTATAATTTTCAAAACGTTCACAAAAATTTAGGTGAGCTATGTGTCCAATCATTTCGTACTTATGAATCACTTCATTCTCGGAGGGAAAGACCTTCTTCAATATTTCGGCCATATTCATATTGTCGTACCCAAACTGCAACTGAATTGTTGTGATTTTGATTCCTTCTTTGGTTATAAGGCGGAAGAGTTCCTCCAGGGTTTCCCCTTCGTTGCATTGCGCAGCAGAGTCGCTCTCTTGCCCATTTTCCGGGTGCATGTACACGCCTTCCATGACCTTTTTCCCTTGCTCTTCCATCAACTCGTGCAGGGCTTTGTTGAACCGCGCGTTGAGCGGGATTAGCCTGCAGTCGTCCAGCGGAGCGTTTGCCAGCGGAGCGTCTTCCAGCGCAGCATCCACATTGCGGTTCACGTCACCGTTGGCGTTACCACCCACGTGTTCTGCTCCCCCCTGCAACCCCTCCACGTGTGAATGAATAAAGTGCAGGAGTTCCCCGTCATAGTCTGCCGCGTCAATTAGGCACCCCTGGTACTCCCTCATCTTCAGTACAGAAGGGAAGCGAAAGATGTTTAGGAACCATATTTTCGCTTGCTTATGTTTCAGGACCTCATTCACTTTGTATTTGTTGAGCACCAAGCAGTGCGTCCTCTTTTCATACTTGACCTTTTGCTTCACATCGGATAGAGTTTTTATATCAACACTGTTATTCATGATTACAAAGCCCAGGGTGGCTTTCCCCTTTTTGCCAAGTGAAATAACTTGCTCAAGGCATAAGCAGAGCAGGGAACACAGCAGAAAAAAAAATCCACAAAACATTAACTGGGCATGTTATAGGAGAGGGAAGCGTCCACGTAGAGGTGTAGGGAGATAAACAAAGAAAACGGACGCACCGCTAAATACATACTTTGAGTTATGACCCAATGAGATATGTGACAAAGGGGACCCCCAAAGGAGGCTCTCTTTTGTTACAAAGCTAAGCTGGGGAGACCAGCAACAATTGCATACTTACCGCTTCACATCAATGAGAATTGTTTTTTTTTTTTTTTTCACAGCAGGGAATACATTGACAGTGGCAACGTTTAATCTGCGTCGCGTTCTGTTCATATGAAGCATTAGCTGGAGTTGGATTTTGCAGAGGTAGGGGCAAACATGTTAGAACCTCATTTGTGCGCTCCCGAAATGGTACTTCAAAAAAAAAAAAAAAAAAAAAAAAAAAAATTTA